ATCTGAAAACTTGAAGACTTTTAAATCTTGTCAGCCATCCAATTCAAGCAGTGTATGGCAGGTGTGTCATATATTTGTAGAGCCAAAATAAATGGCCACAAGAAATTCAGAAGTAATACAGATGTAAGGAAAGTTTAAAATGGAAAGAAAGAAAACATTGTTTTCATTGTTTATTCAGGGGTTGATAAATGCATTTAAAGGAAGACCTCTTCAGTGATTGGTTTAGGTGCCAAAAATCTTTGTGATCTTCTGGACCAGGCACTGGCAGTGTTCCTGTTATGTGCTGGTTTGTGGAGGGAAGGCAAAAGAAAGTAGGAGACAAGGAAAGTATAGGAAAACCAGGGCAAAAGTAGCTGATGGTAGTGGCCTTGCAAACAGCTCTAGGACAAGTTACTGTTTCCATTAGATTAGAAGAAAACATGTCTTTCTTCTCTTGTTTTACTTTCAAGACAACTTCCGTGAGAAAAAAAATATGAATTCTTAAAAATAATAAAATCTGCAGTTCTTTTTTCAAACATTATACTTTAATAGAGAATCTGTTATGTATTTAATTTTAAAATATACGTTTTTGCATTTTCCTTATGTTGTATCTTGTCTAGGACTCTCATAAATGAGCAGCAATTCAAAGTCAAAGTTAACTATTTTATTTTCACGGAAGAATACTTATGAAAGGTTTCTTCCTGTGGATTGGAGTGAAATCTCCCCCACCCTTACTCCCACCACCAGTTCAGTTTCATCATACCTATTATTGAGCAAAAACATTCCAAAGATGAACCTACTATCCAAAGACACAAACAGCAATCATCTGGGAATTTCATATTTTTATAAGATCTTGTTGCTATCAAATGGACAGGAATAGGTCATTCTTTGTGAAGAATGAATGCACTATATATGAAGAATCCTAGGTATTGTCATCCCAATTTGAAGGCTAGGATTGTGAGAAAATATTCAACTTCACAGGTCCAATCGATTCAAAACTAACGGAGGTGGCCAAAGCTCAGCTAGCCTAGAGGGTGCCCAACTGACACAACTCTTTTCTAGTGTCATACAACAGAAGGGTTAATGTTAAATTACCATTTAATCTTTATAATTTTCAAAACAAAAATCCTGGGAGATGCTACTGTAACCCCCAATGACAAGATAGAGCCAGCAGTGCTGAGCAAGACATGATCTCTATGCTCAAGGAGTTTAAATCTAGTAAGGGAGAAAAGGTTAAGGGGCCCAGTCAGCAAGCATGAGGAAGAATATGATAGATGCCATAAGAGTAACACAGTATTGTGGTATGGTTAAGTGGTGGAGGGGACTCTGGAGTCAGGCTGCCTGAGTTTGAACCATGGCTTGATCACCTGCTAGCTTCATGAAGTTGTGCAAGTTAAATTACTCAACCTTTCTCCACCCTCATTTCCCCATCTGTAAAATGAGAACAGTAGTTGCCCTCTCCAAGAGAAATCTGGGGAGCAATAAGTCTCAATGTAATTCCAAGGTATTCCTCTTGATGACTTAACTTCTATGCAGTGGTGTTTGAGTGTGCGTTTAAGAGTATCCTTAAATCATAGTGCTTGGTGTATCATTCATGGTGAGTTAGAGGTTTGTGGAAGTCAGAATTCCTAGTGTTTACTTCCAGCTCTTCATAAATTCTAATACTCATTTTATTTCCTTGTACTATCAAGTTACTTCTCTATTTAAATGAGCATAGCATGTTCCACAAGAGCAAGGACCTTATCAGTCTTGTTCAGTACCTAGAACAATGCCTGGCACATAGTAGATGCTAGATAAATGTTGGTTGAGCACAACTTATGGCAATTATGAAAATGTTGATACATCAGGCATGAATGTAATTCTGAAAACGAACCATAAGTACTCTACAAAAATGACAGGTTTCCCTTGTTTAAGATTCCCAAGAGAGATAAACAATGCTATCTATGACATTTCTCAGCTAGAATCAGTGCATGAGATTTGGAGTCAGAAGATCTTGCCTGGAGTCATGGCTCTACCACCAGGCTTTGTAACTTCGAATAAGTAATTTAACCTCTATGAGCTTCATTTCAGTCATCAGTGTTTTAGGTTATCACTCATGCTTTAGAATATTTTTGAGAGATCGAAAGATCAGTGAAATACAAGCGCTTGTAAACTGCAAGTACAATAAAGTACAAATGCACTAAGAAATGGTAACTTTTCATGTTCTGCTTTAGAGGACTATAAATCTTAAGAAGCAGAACTGTATTCCTATTACTTAAGTCTAAGGAAGTGAAGACAAAGCTATATTATCCCCAAAACAAAATTGATCTTAAGAATACAGAGAAAACTGGCACTTCTCCCTGTCTTTTATACATAGACAAACAGAGCTGCATGAGAGAACTTCTCCCCATCTTTCCTCCAGCTCCCTTGAGTGTTGCACTTAGTTTCTTCTGAGTCAGCCCCTAAAATAGTTTCAGTCTGAAGGAAGACATGTGGTGGCTAGAACTGCTTTGAAGAGTTGGCCAGGGCTTCATCATAGGTTACAGGCCAAAATTTTGAAAAAGAAAAAAGAAAATTCCTTCTCCCCCTATCTCTGAATAAAATGCATGTCCAGAAGCCAGTTCTTGTTTGCATTTTTCATTTGTAAAAGTTCAGAATTCACATGTATCATTTATTATGTTTCTATACTTGGTGGACCTCTGTAGAAAAAGTCTTTCTCCAGACCTCACTGTTTATGTTTTGAGCAGATCTTATATAGATTGATCTTTTTTTGTCATTTTCCTTCCAAATGTGTTCAGACAGACTATATAATTTAGTTGTGGGATTAGGTTGGAATATCATACTCTTCCAGAATACTTTTCATAATACATTAAGTCAGTTACAGTGTGGAAATGAATTTACTCTTGAAATTCAACTTACTGACACTACTGAGAAAAATCTCTGGCTAAGGAGAAACTCAGAAAGTTTGGGATAGCTAATCCCATCACTAGTCAGGCTGTTTTTGGTTGTCATGTCTCTTTAGACATTTTAAAATATATATAACAGCTTTATTGGGATGTAATTCACATACTATCCAATTCATCTATTTAAAGTGTACAATTCAGTGAATTGGTTATGGTATTTCAAAAATCAAGCAATCGTCACCACTATCTAATTCCAGAACATTTTCATCACCCCCCAAAGGAGACTCTGTACCCATTAAGCAGTCATTCACCCTTATCCCTTCTTCGCAACCCCTGGCAACCACGAATTTATCTTCTGTCTCTGTAGATTTGGCTACTCTGAACGTTTCATATAAATGGAATCATACAATATGTGGCCTTTTGTGACAGAGTTCTTTCGCTTAACATGATGTTGTCAAGGTTCATCCTTCTGGTAGCATGCCTCAGTACTTCATTCCTATTTGTGGCCGAATAATATTCCATTGTGTGGATATACCACATTTTGTTCATCCATTCATCTGTTAATGGACACTTAGGCTATTTCCACTTTTGGCTATTGTGAATAATGTTGCTATGAACATTCATGTACAAGGATTTGTAGGAGGATTTCTTTATCGCTTGTTTTCAGATACTTTGGGTATATACTGAGTTGTGGAAGTGAAGGAACTGTCAGACAGTTTGCCACAGCAACTGCACTATTTCGTATTCCCAGCCACAATGTATGAGGGTTCAAATTTCTCTAATTTCTCTGTCTTTTAAAATTATAGTTAGACTAATAAGAGTGAAGTGGTCATCACATTGTGATTTTGTTTTGCATTTCTATCATCAGGTTATTTAAAAAATATTTTTTCCTAGAAGTCATTTGCCTGCAACTTCAACCCTCTAGAACGTGGTCCTGCATGTAACTTGATGCAGAAGGGCCCCCAAAGAAGTAAGAGCAGTCACAGAAGATGCAAGAAAGCTATGCATCTTGTTCCATAGGCCCCTCATTCAGTGGGTAACTAATTGTTATTCAACATTCATGACTGGCTATTAGGTTTTTCAGAAGAGAGCTGGAAAATTCACTGTGGTAGATATTGTGACAGTCAGATAAGTGGCAGTGGATATGACAATTAGTCTGCCACTTAAAGATGAGAACTATTATACTTCCTAATATATTAATAGTCCCAAGTCTTTAATTAGAGACCAAATTATATTTGATATTTTTTAAGAAGGCAAAGTTACATAGAATACATTTTGTAGTGATTTCCATGAAGAATGATTCAGAGAAAAACATGTTTTGCTCTTGAGTAGATAAGCTTGCTTGAATTTTCTAGGTACTTAATTTCTCAATGATATTTGAAAAGTCAGGTGATATTGAATTTCATCTTGAATATGGAAAAGACAAAGAGAAGATTGAGGTTTTATAAAGTTGTTGAAAATATTGTCCAAAAAATTAAATGAAATACTTTTAAGAACTTTAATCTCACTTTTTGATGAAGTTAACAGTTATTTGATTTTTCTAATACTCAGAGCTCACTTTTGCATTAGTGCTATTTCAGTATGTGTTTATGGCATATGCCAGTAAATTAACCTTTCCTGTATCTTTTCAGCTGTTGCTAGAAATTATAGCTGGTTCACACTGAGTTAAACTGCATACTTTAAAGCTGCATAATATTTAATCTATTTCATTAAACAGCACATTCTGTCTCACTTGTTTGTATATGCTGAAACCTTCTTCTGAGTTGCTCCAATTTCCCTTCAGAGACTAAGGAGCCTACACACAAAACAAACAAACAAACAAACAAAAATATCTTTTCAAATGACTTTTTTCTTTATCTGAAGCACATTTTACATTTCCATCCTCCACCCCACTTAATGTGAGGTTGTTGCCCAGTCTTGTAGTACAACAGTAAATCTAAGCAGTTGCTTGCTTTTACTATAAGTTTTATACTGGGAAATGCCCTTTTTATTGACAATAGCTGACTGTACTATGTTGCACTGTCAGTATCTAGATGCTTCCTGTTTTAAATAGGATATAGTTACTTCTTTTCCAAATCTAGAGTTTGAAACGGAAGCATTGTATTATTTTAGCTAATTTTATTTATTTTTTTCTTGCAGGTTCTGAAAAGTGCCTTTTCTGAAAACTCTGCTGCTTGGATTCTACTCTAGAGCTGTCTCTTTATAAACCCCTCTCCCTACCATACCGTTCCCCGCCCTCTCCACCTCCCCGCCGAACCTGGTGTGCTTGTAGTTTACTGTCAGCAGCTGGTCCATTTCTTTTTTCTGTGATTCTCAATTTTCTTAGTCATTTTCCCTCCACTTGATTTTGCAACAAAACTTTTTTGGGGTTCTAACATCCTTCCCAATCTTATTATTTAAAGCTAATAAATAGAGAGAACAACTTTTCTCCCCCTGATCTGAGACCATTCCACAAATCAAAGGGCAGCCAGCAGCATATGTTTTTTACAAGAATAATTGAAAACATCAACTGCAGAGCACAGAATTCTTTTGAAAGTCTGCTGGTTATTTCACATAAATTCGGCAAAGGAACAAAATAAAGCATTCATTATCTTAACAGTTGGCTTCTTAGGAGTTGGTCTCTAATTTGATTTTTAGTTATTCTGATAGTTTTTATGATTGGCTTTTTGTTTGACTAGACCAGATTTGACTTTAATGAAAACCTAAGTGTTAACAAATAGACGTTTCACCAAAGCAACCTGTTATCTCTTCACACTTAGTTTGAATTCATTTTTAATCCTTTAATAGTCCACAATAATATTGTCCTAAAGAGGGTACATTGGATTTTAATTTTGCTTTCAATATGATGGCTGTCAATGTTGCCCTGATTCGTGATACCAAGTGGCTGACTTTAGAAGTCTGTAGAGAATTTCAGAGAGGAACTTGCTCTCGAGCTGATGCAGATTGCAAGTTTGCCCATCCACCAAGAGTTTGCCATGTGGAAAATGGTCGTGTGGTGGCCTGTTTTGATTCTCTAAAGGTGAGTCCCATCTGAATGCACATAATTTAAATTTGTTGATTTCTGTGTTTTTTGAAATATAATGTGCTTTGAAATGAGTAAAATTAATAATAGCATGAAAGTGATAAATTAAAAAAAAAAAAAAACAGAATGGCAAGATAGAAGGTCTTAAAGTCAGAATGGCTTAACGACAAAATGTCTTAATTCTTAGTGTTTGTAGAGCTAAGCCAAGTCTAAAGCTCATTCCACCAAAGACCACTTACCACTTATCAAAACAGATACACTTAAAGAATAAAAATTGAATAATTTTTGTAGGAGTGAGGGATTGTAGTCTTGCTATCATTTACTTTTTTGTATATGATTTAGATGTTACAGTGATCATAATCGTCATGTAACCTAGAGAAGCCCTTCACTGAATTATAGCTTATTATCCATAGTACCAAAATGCACTTGGGAGGGACCAGTCAGCTTTCAGAAGATAAATAAGGTCAGACTGAGGGAGTATAAGGTTTCCAGAAGGAAAATTATAGCATTTTGAAGTATCTCAAAGTATATTTTGAACCTTTAACTTAAACATATTGCTATAAAACTAGGTTCACTTAATTTTCCTCCTGGACAGCTGATTGACCAATTTCAGATTTGTAGGTATATTTTGTAAGGAAAACGCTATTACCAAAGTCATCAAGCCTGAGTATTATGTACTAGATTATAAACAAAATATGAGGGCAGATGAGGTATTATATAGGACAGGATGTATATGATTGCAGAAAAAGAAAATGTAGTCATTTTCATGTTTTATTCATAGTTATCCTTAAGGATAAAAAGTACAAATTAAAACATAGAAGCAATAAATTGTAATGGATTTCTGGTTTAATTAATAAGATTTGCTACAATGCATTTGAGATTTTTTTCAAAATATGTCAAAATGAATTAAGCTTAACAAGAACCTTTTCAGTTTCTTGATATTGTTTTACCCTCATCATGACCAGTGACCAATTTTACCTCATTAACATTTTTATTTATGGCTGCATTGGCTAACAGAGATGTATCCCTTAGTGTGATGGTTTCCTCAGGAAACATTTTCTTAAGTGATATACAGGTTAAGTATCTCTTATCTGAAATACTTGAGACTGAAAATGTTTTCGATTTTTTGGATTTTGGAATATTTGCATATCCATAAAGAGATATCTTGGGGATGGGACTCCAGTCTAAACATGAAATTCATTTACATTTTACATATACTTTTTACACATAGCCTGAAGGTAATTTTATACAACATTTTGAACAATTTTGTGCATGAAACAAAGTTGTGTACATTCAGCTATCAGAAAACAAAAGTGTCATTATCTCAGCCACCCATGTGACATCATGTTGGCACTTAAAAAGTTAAGGCTTTTGCAGCATTTTATACTTCAGGTTTTCAGATTAGAGATGCTCAACCTGTACTACTTAAGGAGTTACTTTTACCTATTTCGTGATTACTAGTGTGCTTTTTTTTTTTGCAGACCATTCCATTTTAAGAATACAAACTTGTTATTGTAAAGATAAAGGTAATTCCTACCATTGAAAATCTCTGAATTGCCTTTATTTGTGGTAGACATTATGACTAAAGAACTTATTTTGTTTTCTTCATTTTGGTTTCATTTAAGTTTCATCTACAATTATTTTGTGTATTATTTGCTATAGGATTGGGCATTACTTTGAAGGGGAAAAGATTGCTGAGTTAGTTGGGGGAAAAAATGAGGTATCTTTCATCCAGTCCATATAGAGGGTCAGGAACTGCAGTAGGAACTTTGCATGTGGTGTTTCAGGAGATCTGGGGTACAGTCCCAGCCTCTGTATCTGACCTCGGGCAACTTAACCTCACAATCTTTGAGTGACTTCATCTCTAACAGATAGGTAATATCTTCTCTACCTAACTTCTGTGATTATTGTGGAGACTGCAGTAAGCTAGTACAAATGGAAAACCACATATCACTATAAAAGTGAATTAAATAAAAGGTTTTCTTCCTATCAACTAAATGTTTGTTGGAGGCATTCTTTAATAAAGTTCTATTTAGTTAGGGTTTATTATTTAAAATTACAAACTCATGTTCTAAAGGTACATGACCAAATCTAGTTGCTGTGTGATATTAGTTGTTCAAACTAAGTATAACTGTTTTGTGGTTGCTCTGATATAGAGTTCCTTGCAGGCTTTGTAAATTCTATCTTTCCGAACATCATAGAATGTGAAAGGAGATGTGTGATCTTCCTATTAATTAATAAACTCAGGTCAGTAATTCCATTTAAAGGCAAAAGAGTGCCATAAACTAAACATTTTGAAGAAGAGTACTAGGGAAGGTGACTGTTTACAAAATGCGTACTGCACTACAACTTTAGAGCTTGGAAAGTGTTTAATTCAGAGACAAAATAGATAAGGGCCAATGAATATTAATAAGCCACTTAATTATTTAAATAAGTTGTCTACTCACTGTATCTAGTATTTTTAAAGTAATGTTTGCATCATGTTAATATCCTGATGACCAGTCACAAAGGGTAAAGATGATTTACATAATCCTTACAGTCTCATATTTTTGTGAAACGCTTAGTATTTCAAATATATAAAGCCTTTCAAACAATTATTTAATTTGCCATTTAGATAGCACATTAATCAGAGTTCCATGTCTACACAAGAGCTTTATAGTTCTTATCCATGACATGCATGAAAGTTAAATTAAGCTGAGGGTAATTGACCTGTGTGCATTGTACTAGTATCATATCTATAATACACAAATAACATACTTCTGTGGTTACTGCAGCATTTCCTACTTCTCCTGAGTTTTTATAATTGAAACACTGTTGAACTTCATGTGTATACTGTTTCTTATCTCATGAGTGATTAAATAACTGAAGCAATCATTTGATGAGTTTTGGGCTGCTGCTTTTGTTTTTGTTTTGTTTTGTTGTTGTTGTTGTGTAAGAATTCTATTAGTACTAGCTACTCTACCAGATGATGGTTATTGCCTTAATAACGGGTACAACAGATACAATGTTCTAACTCACCTTGTAACGAGGGAATATTATGAAAATAAGAAGGGCAAATTGGATGACTGATTGTGTATTGTGCTGAAGTGCTGTGCCTATCAATCCATGAATGTTGAGTGCTCAGTGATGAAGGCAGCACCATCTTCAAATGGAAATCTAGTGTAGTCCATGGATTAATTTCCAACTACGTAGAATGGTCTCATATCATGTTGGTATGCAGCTGTTTTTGACTCCGTTGCCTTGTGGACTGGGCATAATCTGTCTCCAAAGTTCTCTTTAAATATTGCTTAATCCATTCTATGCCAATTTCTTGATATTACAGTTTGCCATTGATCTAGGTTGGTATTTTTAGTGAATGTTCCTTGGATTTAACGAAGAGTCGTCATTTTTAAAACGAAATCAATCTTTGTGATTGTTTTCATAGCCAAGTTATTCTGCTTCAGCAATATCATGATGTCTTGAACCTTTCCCTCTATACTTGAAGCAATGTGTTATCAGTCACTTTTTATCGAGGAAGGATATAAATGTTGTCATTATTTCATTATGACAGATCAACACCCATCACATCTGCCCACCCCTCTTACCACTTTGGGTAGTTTTGTGCCAAGAATTTCCTGGTAAAGGCTATAGCAGCAGACATAGTTAGAGGATACTCAAGCTAACCTATATACATTCCTTAAAAAAATGGGAACTGGGTGAGGAATGCACATAAAACAGTCACATGCTGTGTCTTCAAAATCACATATGATCACAAGAAAAATAATATTTTGACAAGTGAAACCTGTTGTATAAAGCATATGGATATGAATCTATCCTTGTAGGTCAAACTGACCCGAGTTACCAGTATATTCTGTAATAGCACCACTAGTCACAGCAGTTTTCATTAGTTTAAAATTTGACTATTTTTGACTGAATACTTACTCATCCCTATTTGCTAAGGGAAAGTTTACCAGAAACTAGATGCCTAGCAACACAATCCCAAGGGTCACTGGATTATGCAAGACTTAGCACCATTTATCAGCTCCATCAGAGAGGTCTGTCTACACTATAAAGACACATAAGCAGCACCTGTCATCCTGAGAGTCAAGGAAAATAACATTTTATTTAAGGATCTCTATTTTCTATGATGCTAATCTTTAAAAGGAAGTATCTTTGGTAAAAGTCAATGCTATTTTGAATATTTCAAAAACCTCTTTTGAAAGGAAAATAGAATTGTAATTATAGGTTGGTGCAGAAGTAATTGTGTTTTTTGCCATGAAAGCAATGGCAAAAACTGCAATTACTTCTGCACCAACCTAATGGTACCCAAACAAATACATATGGATAGTTCAGCCTCGCCTTTTAAACATTTTATTTTGAAATATTAATAATTTTAGGCTTACAGAAAAGTTACCAAAGTAATACAGGAAACTCCTGTATACTTTTTATCCAGATTCTCCTAATGTCAACAGTTTACATGCCATGCATTGCACAGTTATCAAAACCAGGGAATTATCACTGGTACAAGATTCTTAAGTAAACTAGAGAACTTATTTGAATGTCACCAATTTTCTTCCTAATGTTAGTTTTCTGTTCCAGGATCCAATCTAGGATCCCATATGGCATTTATTCCTCATATCTCCTTAGTCTCCTCCAACCTGTGACACTTTCTCAGTCTTTCCTTGTCTTTCATGACCATGACACTGAGGATGAATACTGGTCAGTTATTCTGTAAAATACATCTTACTTTGTGCTTATTGAATGTTTTCTCATGATTAGACTGAGGTTATGTGGTTTTGGCAAATAAAAAAGAAACCCACACACAGAAATGATGTGCATGACATATGAGGGTATGTGATGTTGATATATCTTATTCATTATGTTAACTTTAATCACTTGGTTAAGGTGGCATCTACTGGGTTTCTCTACTGTAACATGACCAGTTTTTCTTTTGTAAAAACTGTTAACTGTGTCTCCCATTTATTCATCATCCCCTACAATATGCCATTGATCATAAT